TTCCTCTCTCTCATTTTGCTCTCTAACATATGCCTCTATTTATAGGCATTCATGGAGGCTATTCTTGGTTTGTTGTCAACATTTGTGGCTACTAACTCTAGCTCATTCAACAATGGTGGCCACCAACTCTAGTTCATTCAACAATGGTAGCTACCAATAGTCAATGGTTGGTGCCATCTATTTGTTGCACATGAAATGGCAACCAACCTAACAGAAATCCTTCTCACCGATTCGTCTGGTGTTTTAAGGCTTAACCACCGGGGAATTCTTGTCCTCCTCAATCATAACGGGAACATCATTTGGTCGACCAACTCGTCGAGATCTGTAAGGAATCCAGTTGCACAGCTTTTGGATTCAGGAAACCTTATAGTGAAAGATGAGGGTGACGGTAGCATGGAAAATTTATTGTGGCAGAGTTTTGACTATCCATGTGACACATTACTGCCAGGTATGAAGCTTGGAAGGAATACAACGACAGGCCTGGATCGATTCTTATCTTCATGGAAGACACCTGACGATCCATCTAGAGGTGTCTTTACATATGGATTGAAAGCTGCTGGATATCCTGAAAAGGTTCTGCGAGCGAATTCACTTCAGATGTATCGATCTGGACCTTGGAATGGTATTCGATTCAGTGGCTGTCCTCAAATGCAGCCAAATCCTGTGTACACTTATGCGTTTGTTTTTACTGAAAAGGAGATGTACTATAGCTATCAGCTTCCTGACAGATCAATCCTTTCAAGGGTAATTCTTACTCAAAATGGAAACATCCAGCGCTTCACATGGTCTAGTAGCGCACACATCTGGGTATTTTATCTTACAGCACAAGTTGATGATTGTAACCGGTATGTACTGTGTGGTGTATATGGTAGCTGTCATATTAACGATTCCCCAATGTGTGGTTGCCTGAGAGGATTTATACCGAAAGTTCCAAAAGATTGGCAGATGATGAACTGGTCAGGTGGCTGTGAAAGAAGGACCCCCTTAAATTGCTCAACAGATGGGTTTAGAAAATACTCTGGCGTGAAGTTGCCAGAGACAGCAAATTCCTGGTTCAGCAAAAGCATGAATCTTGAAGAGTGTAGAAACATGTGTACGAAGAACTGCTCCTGTATAGCTTACACAAATTTGGACATCAGAGAAGGAGGAAGTGGATGCTTGCTCTGGTTCAGTGACCTGATTGATATCAGACGATTAAATGAAAATGGGCAAGACATTTATGTACGGATGGCTGCGTCAGAACTAGGTAAGAATCTATCCTCTGACTTGAAAAGGTAGTTTCTCATACTGATAGTTAAGTGCACTGCATTGAAATCAGTTAAGTCCCAACCTTTGTAACTGAAGTGAAAGGTTAGATAGAAAACAACATGCTAGGGAAGCGTTCCTTACCTTTTCTTCCTTTTAATCAGAAATTGGGAAAACACCATAGGATATGGATAGGAGACTGATCATGTTCATGTTACATGCCTTATGACGCCCCATAGAGTGAAAAATTTAAGCATGTTCCAATGGTCGAATCCAAAATGATGATTGTTTCTGTCATACTGACATTCTTCTCGGGCTTTGCCTTATTTAACTAATCTATAAACGCATCCACAGGATATTCCATGTCACCTAACATATCACTTAGTGACAATTATGAAAACTCTTCTATTAATAGCATCTTTCAAGCTATTCTTTTTACCGTGAAGCATAAACTGTAGAAAACCCCTATCTATTAAACCATCTATAAGAAGAACAGGTTAGTTTGCTATTTGTTACAACAGGGAACTGATCTTTTTAGTACTTGTTTCCTTTTGTATAGCTATGCTGCTCTGTAGCAGGAGTTTGCTTCTGTTGTGTTTTTCCTTTGATCAAGCAATTCACACACACACGTATATGAAAGCAGCATAGTGAACTGATTGACTTGACCCGAAGCTGTTTTCGTAACTTCTCTGACAAAATTAAATGGATTTGTCAGTCAATGTTGTAAAATCATGCATCAGTATACTCTGAATTTGATAGATAGCTGCAGGGAATGGGTTCATATTGTTTATCTGTTTTATCCAACCACACGTACCAACCAAAAAAATACAGCACTGAGTTTCTGAAATTTCGTATTGTTGATTTTTAACTCTTGGATTTGCTCCTCAACTGGTATCTAGATCACGAGGGTGATACGAAGAATAACTATAAATCCAATAAAAAGAAACAAATGAGGATCATAGTAATCTCAACGCTGCCAACAGGAATGCTTTTACTTGGCCTACTCTTGGTCTTGTGTTTTTGGAAGAAGAAACGGCAGAAAAACGGTAAGTAACTCAAATCTTCACCCCCACTTTCCGAATCCTCAAGGCCTTTATTATACTGAGGTTTGACCTGGATGCTTCATGAGAAAAAAAGTCGTAATGAACTTGTTATATTTAAAATAAATAATGAAAGCTCAGTTAACTAAAAAGAAGGGATAGGATGTTGGTTTTTGTTCAAGCTCTAATTTGTAGGAAACATGACAGGTATTATCGAAAGAAGCTCGAACAAGAGCAGCACCGAGCAAGATCAAGAACTGCAGATGTTTGACTTGGGTGTCATGGCTATTGCAACCGAGAATTTTTCTGTTACAAATAAACTAGGAGAAGGGGGTTTCGGACCAGTATATAAGGTAATGATATAATAAGCTGTCAATGGCTTCTGAATTTCACTTACCAAAAAAAAAAAAAAAGGCTTCTGAATTTCATGTTGGGAGTCCCTGGCACCTTTGTAGTTATCTTCAACCTATTCAACTGAATGGACTTTATTTATTTATTTATTATATTCCATGGATGAAACTTTGACTTCTAAGGAAGTACTCCAACTCTTTTTACTTCAACAAAGGAAAATTCGAGTAGCACGGAGCATTTTGCAAAAATTCTCAAATCTTACATCCAAAGAAAGGTTTCTCAAGTAAGGAATGAATATTTGCAGGGAATTTTGAAAGACGGGCAAGACATAGCAGTGAAGAGGCTTTCAAGGAATTCGAGACAAGGACTCGAAGAGTTCATGAACGAAGTTAAGCATATTGCAAAACTTCAACACCGCAATCTAGTTAAGCTCCTAGGCTGCTGCATTCAAGAAGATGAAAGGATGCTAATCTACGAGTTTATGCCTAACAGAAGCTTGGACAGCCTGATTTTTGGTTTGAGGCTCTCCGGACCTAGCAAATTTAATTTCAGTCTTCCTTTCATATATATTTGTTCTTGAATCTGACGAGAGCCAGAATTCGATTGACTTGGGTAAAATATTAAAATGGGCAGGCAAAACTCGGAGCACACAACTAGACTGGCCTAATCGCTACCATATTATCCATGGAATTGCTCGTGGACTCCTTTATCTCCACCAAGATTCGAGACTAAGAATAATTCACAGAGATCTGAAAGCCAGCAATATCTTGTTAGATAATGATATGAACCCCAAGATTTCAGACTTTGGCCTAGCGAGGAGTTTTGGAGAAAACGAAACAGAAGCCATCACAAGTAGGGTGGTAGGAACATAGTAAGTATCTCCTAGTTTAGCAGTCTATGCCCATTCCTTAAACTTGGATTTAACATTCGATAGTTGTCTGCAGTGGCTACATATCCCCAGAGTATGCAATTGATGGTCTCTACTCAATAAAATCTGATGTCTTTAGCTTTGGTGTATTGGTGCTAGAGATAGTGAGTGGGAACAGAAATAGAGGATTCTGTCATCCAGACCACGACCTCAACCTTCTTGGCCATGTAAGTTAGAAAAAAAATGATTGTCTGACATTTTGTTAACTCTATGCACCAAATCTCCTACCAATAACTTGATTTTCATTCCCAGGGTGGAGACTATTTCAAGAAGGCAGGCATTTTGAACTAATTCCTGAATCAGTAGCAGAATCATACAACTTATCTGAAGTGCTTCGTTCAATTCATGTGGGTCTTTTATGTGTGCAATGCAGTCCAAATGATAGGCCAAACATGTCATCTGTAGTTCTAATGCTTTGTGGGGAAGGTGCATTGCCTCCGCCAAAACAACCAGGTTTTTTTAATGAAAGGGATTTGGCTGAAGCAAATACTTGCTCAAGACAGAATACATCTTGTTCGGTGAATCAATTCACGATCACACAATTAGAGGCGAGATAGATTACATTTAGTACTGTTCACATCAAGACGGAACTGCTTTCTTTTACTTTCATTTTTGTTTTTTAAGACTATTAAGTGTGAATCTTGAAATCCATCACTTCAGCCCACAAATACTGTTCGCAGCTAGTCAAATTATTTTCTATCCAGAAATATAAAAACAGTTGAAAATAAAGTCTAAAGAAATGAAGGATTAGGCTAATTACCTTCATGTCACGATCAGAAATTGAGTTGCACTAGAGCATAAAAGGCATTCGCTGCCCTGGCCTCCTTTCTTCACTATTAGTCTTATTACCACACTATAGTGAATTCAGTCAAAGTGATTATCTAGCCCTTCAAAATACGATTTTGACATCCCAATTAAGCAAAACATATCCAAGTGCCAAGCATGCAAGCTAATTTTAAGGTCCTGCTTTAAAACAAAATATAAAAGCGGCTGTTTGAGTGTCTGCAAAACAAGTTTTATATGGGCACATGAACTTCTCCCTTTCTTAAGTAGTAGGACGTGGGAGGGAAAAATAATGTATACTAAACTGAAAAATAGCAAGAGAAAGTAAGAAAAATTGTATGTTGTAAGAATTTTTGAGTGGTTGTTTGCGATTTTAAAAATGATTTGGTAGTAATTAGTGATTCATGGAATTATTAGATGATTAATGCTGATTTCTAGAATTGATGGGCTATTAATGAGATTGTATGATATTGTCTTTAATAGTTATGTATAGAGTTTTAAGAATTATCTTATTTTATTTTTATTTATGATTGGAGTATTTATAGATTTAGTCCTTGAACTTACTTTAGGAGAAGAAACATATTTTCATAAAGAATTAAGTCATAAGGTGTTGGGTTATGCTTGCTATTGATGAAGACACTAATAGTAGTATTTTCCTAGAAAATAAAGGGTTATTATGTTATGTGTGTCATTTGTAAAGATATTAATAGTTAAATAATCATTATCTAGAAAAGTGATGTATGTCTTTTATAAAAAAATATTGTGTCTGTATAGAAAATTATTAGAGTTCCTTGTGTCCAGGTCACTCTTCGTTAAAAGTGGGTATCCCATGAAATTCTTTCTCTAGATAGCAACAAACACCTTAGCACGTATGGTGGTACGAGGTGTGGTTAAAAGTTTAAGGAATGTCATGCAATCATAAATGGATCCTTTAGTGTTCCTCTTTGATGCCCTAGTAAAAGAGTGATGACATTATGAAAACAATGGAGTTCTTGTCTAGTCACACTTGTTTCTTGTACTCAAATATGTTTTTCATTGTTTGTTTTAAGTTAAGAAGATTCTTAACAAGAAGAGTATACAAGCATTCCTTTAAAGAGTAGTTGTGGGCTCAACTAATTAGGGCTTCAACAAAAATAGGTTTAAGTAAATCTTTCATGTTTAACATTTCCTCGTTTAATATATAGATATATGTTCTATAGCTTTCATTTTTTTATTAGATGATGGTAAAGAGCTTAGTCATGCTCTTTTTAGCTGGCATACTAGTGCTAAAACAAGCGATGAGCTTAACACAAATATCATGATGACCACGAATAAAGTCATGCTTAAGGTTATTGTAAGAACCCCAATAGTTAGATTAGTTTATTCATTTAACTCTCATATAAAGGGTAAATGAAGCATAATATATATATATATATACAAACACATACATTGAGTTCACTAAAACTTCTAACAAAATTTCAGCAGAATCTCTCCTATATCGGGAGATTTCAAGTTATCAATAATTTACCCTGCATGCATGTATAATCATATCCCACCCATAAACACATCTATATTTGATCAAAATCAACCATTTAATTCATTCGAGAATATATATAGGACAGATCTTCATACTCAATCTTTGTCTCATATCACATGCATAAATTAGTAAGTAAAAGAACCATCTAAGAGCTAAAATTTTATATATAAATACAACACAGTTTAGCATTCTAAACATAAGCTAGTACATTATAATATTCAAATCATATATTGATACATTTAATATTCCAAACACAAAATAATGCAAGTAGTATACTAATATATTCAGGTTACATGTTTAATGCATAACAAAATTACATATTCCTTAAGTTCATAACTTATACAAAAAGAGATCAAGGAACCTAAATTTTACTTCTGACATGAATTGGAGGGACCTGTAAAACATAAATTTTTTATATAATTAAAAAAATACAAATTATTTCATGGAAGAAAAATTATACAACACATCTGCCTACTTAAGTCATATGAAATTCTATACAACACAACTAGTTTCTTTTAAGGATTAGCAAATTAGTTTCCTATAACTATGTCCTCTTTTTTTTTTTCTTTTTTTCTTTTGTAATCCAATCTTTGGTTGAAGGTATTCACCTTGCCACTTCTCTTTATATTTAGAAGACTAATGTCGACATTAATGACCCCTATTAGTGTTTTTAATTGCCCATCCTGAGGTCAACTCATCAAATTCATGAAAATATCAACACTAACACAATCGTTGGTGTTATTAACTATTTTCGGGCCAAAATAGTTAATCAATGTTCCATGTTACCTTAGAAGGTCCTCAGGTATGCCAATGTCAAAGATTCTTGACATCATTAGCTTTCACCTCAGAAAGCTAATAAATTCCCATAAATCTTACCGATATTGATGTCAGCAACATATATCATTAACTATTATAAACCTAAATAATTAATCAAGTTCTATATTTATCCTCTCATGTACCAATCATGTAGATGTTAGCCAACTTGGCTAACATCATTAGTCTTTCATATCTAGAAGAGTCATTTCTAAAGTTCATTGTTAGTGTTCATTTCCTTTGGGAGAACCCATAAATTAAATCTAGTTCTCCATTTTCCTTTTCCCATCATTTAACCTTTTCTTTTCCCTTTTTATTTTCCTTATTAATAAGTACCAAAACTATAGTTCAATAATTAGTTAAAATAATTATTAACCAGAGGAGATATAGGTACCGAGCATTTACCTATTATAGATGCTCGACTTGCATTCCCCTATTGTTATTGTACTCCTCTTATGATTCCTCCTAAAACCACAAGCACCCATCATTATTTCATATTAATCCACATATCATAACAAACAGCACCAATGACAATAATATTCATTTCTCTTTTACCATTTTTTTCTTTCTCACTTACATCTCACTTACATTTCTCATTATTATACTTTTAATATTTTCAGCTCATTAGTAGCCCAAGTGAACATTATGAATCATTAGTAGCCCAAGTGGACATTATGAATTCAATTTCAATCATAGTTTATTCCTCTTAGAAGATTAAGACACAATATTACACATTTTATGAAGGGCAAGAAAACAAATTCTACCATTAATATGAATAAATTTCATTGTTTTATCGACTTGGCTTAATCTGCCAGTAGAGGTGAAAGCTTGACCTCCCCTCGTATTTTTATTTATACCTGGAGTTCTAGAACTCTAAATTAGATGGAGTTAGATTCTTGAAAAGCTAACACTCTTATCTACAACTTCTATGAAGGGACCTTCCCCATATTATATCATCTTCATTCCGAATTCTTTCAAGAATTAGGAAGACGAACTTGTCCTATTTCATTAATAGATAAGGTATCTCTAATTTTATCTCAAATCCTATTTCCTCATCAGATACAGCTATGCCTTCACTTATACATGGTAACCCATCTCATTATGACCTCCCAAGGTCATTTGTACCAAGTTAATTAATTCATTTCTACTTTGGTTGAACCCGCCCAAAGGAATGAAGGGTTTTTCTTCCTTATAAGTAATGCATTTTTTTTTTCTAATTAGCAACCACACTATAACAACACATCTTAATTAATTAAAAAAAGAAATCATAAGTTCTCCTCCTCTTTTTTCTTCACCTCTAGTGTCTGGTCACTTTGCATATGTTCTCTCTATTTCTTTTCCTTGAACCCCTCCACATTCAAGACTATTTCTATCACTAATTTATGCATTAATTGGATGGAACCATTCATCAAACTTCATGTATAGATACGCTTAAGCAAAATAAAATTGCTAAAAGAAAATATAGGCACATTGTAAACTGCTCATTTTCTCTTGTTGTCTATTGTTTTTCCTAGTGAGTTTTAGGAGAAGTTGTCCTTACTGTTATAAGTTTGATGAATACAATTTCATCTTCTCTTAATTTAGGTTTTTCTTTTTTAAAAAAATTATATGGTTATGTCCCTAATTATCCCTCTTTTAGAGTATTTGGTTGTACATGTTTTGTTCTTGGTCTTCATGTAAAACGCAACAAGATGTCCTATTAATCTGTTATTTATGTCTTTTTGGGTTATGGTAAAGGTAAAAAGAGGTCTCGTTATTTTAATCCAATAACATAGAAACTTAATGTCTCATCATGTTATCTTTTTCAAACATATTTTTTTTTTCTATTTCATCCACTATTTATAGCCTAATTAGACTTGATCTTATTCATATATATCCATTTTCTAAAAATGTTGATAGTTTATCATCTCATATTTCTAGTACCTTAAGTATCCCTCCCTATGTTTGGCCAATTTGTCCTCATCAATCTGTAACTATTTACTCTCCGACACATCTAAAATTCCATTCTCATCTACAACCTCTCAAGCTTAATCTGAGATTATGGATCCACCTTTACATCAATCCATACGTATTCGTAAATCCACAAAGTTATTAGATTTTGTTTATTTTTGTTATTCTTCAATATCATTTACTTTCTTTTTAGCTTCTATTCATTGTCTCTTTAAGTCCTTTTCCTATAAAGAGAAAATTCTTGATCCTATTTGGTAACAAACTATGGATGAGAAATTTTCTGCTTTGCATAAGACAAATACTTGGGATTTCCGCTACCTCCTAGTAATAGTATTGTTGGTTGTCGTTAGGTATATAAGATCAAGACTAATTTTGATGGGTCTATTGAGTGATATAAAGCTAGGTTGGTTACAAAAGGATACTTTCAATAGTATGGTATGGATTATAAGGAGACATTTGCCCCTATTGCAAAAATAACTACTATTCATACTCTTATTATCATTTTTTTAGTTCGTCAATGGCATATCTCTCAACTTGATATTAAAAATATTTTATTGAAGGGAGATCTTCAATAATAAGTTTATATGGTGCCTCCTCCTGGCGTTTTGCATAACTTTGGGTTTGTTTGTAAGCTTAAGAAAGTATGACATGATCTTAAACAAGCACCTCATACTCGGTTTGAGAAATTTTCTGTTGTGATTTTATTTCTTGAATTTGTTTCAAGTAGTCATGATTCTGCTCTTTTTATTAAGTGCACTGATGCAGGTTGTATCATTTTATCCTTATATATGGATGACATGATTATTATTGATGATAACATTAATGGTTATCTTCGGTATTTCCTGGGTATTAAGATAGTTTACTCATCTAGGGTTTTCTTTTTTTTCCTTTGTTGAAATATGTTGTAGATATTCTTGAACGGATTAGACTTACTGATAGCAAGACTATAGATACTCCGAATGAAGTTAACACAAAGTATTCTTCTTCTGATGGTTTATTTTTAACAGATCCTACTTTATACCGTATTATTGTTAGGAGCTTGGTATATCTCACCATTACTCATCCATATATAGCATATGTTATTCATGTTGTTAGTTAATTTGCTGCTTCTCCTCACTAGGCAGTTATTCTTTATATTTTGTGATATCTTTAAGCTACATTCTCTCAGATTTTTTTACTTCCATCCACCTTTTTTCTAGAACTGTGTGCATACTCTAATCACAAGTCTATTACTAGTTTCTATATTTTTTAGGTGATTCTTTTATTTCTTGGAAGAGAAAGAAACAATCTATTGTTTCTCAATCTTCAATCGAAGTAGAATATCATATTATAACATCTACTACTAAAAAGATTGTTTGGTTATATTGGTTACTTATGGATATGGGAGTTTCACTTTCTCATCTTATTCTTATATATTGTCATAACTAGAGTTCTATTCATATTGTTCACTACTCGATTTTTCATGAACAAACTAAGCATATTAAGATCGATTGTCATCTTACTTGTCATCATCTCAAGAATGACACCATTACTTTGCCATTTGTTTCTTCTTTCTTATAGATTGCAGATTTATTTACCAAGTTGCATGCTATTTCTTATTTTTGTTTTCTATATTACAAGCTCTCAATATTTGTAGTTGTCACATCGTAAATTTAAGGGGAGATGTTAAATAATATATTTTTTTATTTTATTTATTAAGGATTGAATATATTTTTAATTTCACCTATATAAAATCTTTTTATATTTAGATTAAAACAACAATAAATATATTAATGAAAATTTTAATTTCCTTCTTTCTTATATTCGTACTTTTTTATGTTAATTTAGATTACTTTAATAGTTACATATCCCCACAGCATGCAAAATCTGGACTTTACTAACCGAAATCAGATGTGTTTAGCTTTGGAGTATTGATGCTGGAGATAGTGAGAGGGAACTGGAACAGAGGATTCAGTCATCCAGACCAGCAAACTGAACCTGCATTGGCATGTAAGTTGTGAAATCATGTTACTTCGATTCTCCATTTCGCTTTAATGTTGAGTACCAATGCTAGTTTCCAGTTGGTAGGCGCGGTTTCTAAGATTCATTAGAACGTGTTTAGACTTTCAAAATAGGTTTTCACATGTTTTTAGAATGATTTTTCATTGTTTTAGATAAGAAATAATGTAGAAATCAAGTGTGCGAGGCAAAAACATCATCCACTATTTTTTCAAGAAAAAATGATGGTCAAAGTTGCAGGCAGTAGTTCTAGAGTTGCAGAGCCACCGCTGGTGGTGGCTTACGGCCGATGCATTGCTCATCATGACCGACATGTCACCCCCCTTTTACATAGAAATTTTTTGAAGGTCCTAGGCCGGGCATGACTAACCTAGGAGCTCGAGCCTAGTTTCCACCAAACCCATGCACAGATGCCTCATGCATGCTCCACCCAACTTTCTTCCTTGTTTGTTTTTTAAATATCTAATCTTTTATTATTTCTCAATATAAATTTTAATCAAGTAATTAATGATTATTTTTTATTTTTTATATGACATCACCAGAAAATAATGATTTTTTTTCATGATTTTGAATTTCTTATTATTTTTTCAAAACTTATATAAAAATAATAATAATTATGAAAAACAGTTATTCTTCATTCAACCCTGTAAAAAAATACTGATTGATAGTCAAACTTCTTGAGAATAATAGAAGTCTATCTAAGATGATAAAGCCAAGGTTTTTTCTTCTTTGAAAAATAGTTGCATTGAACTCCCAAAAGTTATAGACTTCTTGGAAGTTGAATAGAATATATAACCCATAATCAAGTGTGTCAACCGTCCTCGCATGCGTATTGTTTTAATCACAGCCCTGTGGATGGATGTTTAAAAGAAGATAGCGTATAAAGTATAAAAAACAAACATTTTATATTCTTTTCTTTTTTAATTATTTATTAATTTTTCATTATCAATGTTTCACGAATAATTAATTAATGTTTTTTATTTTTTATTTTTTATTTTTTTTACACAACCTAACAAAATGATTTTTATTTTTAATAATGGTTAAAGAACTAGTATTCAATAACTTAAACAATTAGATAAAATTTTAAAATATAAATTTAAAATTTATATAGATTCATGATCATTATTGAATCTCCAATATTATATTAAAAAATTAATTTAAATTCAATAGCTTCAGCTATTAAATAACATTTCAATATATAATTTATAGTATTTAATATTATATTTGAAGCTATTAGATAACATTTCAATATATAATTTATAGTATTATTATTTAACAATGATTTTTCTTGTTTTCTTCTTTATTTTTCCTTAAAATTAGTATGAAAATAATAATTGTTGTTAAAAAATAATAATTCTTCATAGAGCCTTAAAAAAAGATAATGATTAAATGTAATTTTGTTTTTACCATAATTGAGGTTTAATAAATGATAATTCATCAATATAATTAAGATGCATGGTTTTTAAAAAATTAATGACACTAACAACGAATATAAAATTGGTTTTTTTTCTTTAAAAAATAATATCAACACTGAAGACAAGTTAACATTTGTAAGAAAAGATTCTAAATATCAAGGATTTGATAGTTAATAATTTATCATTTTTAATTTATATTATTTTTTGGATAATTATGTTTATCTTCAAAATTGAGCATGATTAATTACTTACACAAAATACTCATTCATTTAAAAAATATCTACAAGTTGATTTATTTTAATTTCTTCGACTTAAATATTTTAAATTAATTAAAATATTAAGTAAATTTTATGAACCTACCCCGGCAATATTCGGGTACAATGATGGTTCTCAACAGAAGAAAATCCCGGAGAGAGTCCTGGAAGAGGGTGAGCGTTAACAGAGGTAATTAAGCCACAGCAGACATCGTAAAGTCAAGCAACGAAGGATTTCTTCTTAATTCTGTAGGGTCATTAATCATTTGTTTAATTTGTTTGAGCCAATCACCACTTGCAGACGATGAACAAGTACAAAATATTCTTTCCCCGTCACCTTTCTCCTGTACTCTCGTCTATCCTTCCGCATGTCGATGTTGACTGCAAATAAAGTTTTTCGCTGAAATGGAATATCATTTCAGATTACTGTTATGTTAAATCATGAATAAATTTTCACGTTAAAACCGCCCATTATATATAGAACAAGAAAGTGAGCAACAAGAAAATCAAGAGGGTTCCAATGGATTACATTCCTACTTTTCTCATAACTTTATTGCTTATAGGAGAAGCAGCCGAATGTATTGATACCATGAACACAACTCATTCCATTAGGGATGGGGACACAATTGTTTCAGCAGAAGGGACCTATGTATTAGGATTTTTTAGCCCTGGCAAATCAACAAACCGATACGTGGGGATATGGTATGGCACAATACCTGTCGTCACTGTAGTTTGGGTTGCTAACAGAGAAACCCCCCTTAATGATTCTTCAGGCGTTTTCAGACTTACTAACGAAGGAAGTCTTGTCCTTCTCGATCATGATAGGAGCTTGATTTGGTCCTCTAACTCGTCGAGACCAACAACTAATCCAACAGCTCAACTTTTGGATTCAGGAAACCTTGTTGTGAAGGAGAAGGGTGATGGCAGCTTGGAAAATCCCTTGTGGCAGAGTTTTGAACACCCAACTGATACTCTATTGCCAGAAATGAAGCTAGGACGGAATAAAATAACGGGCATGGACTGGAACATGACATCATGGAAGTCACCGGATGATCCTTCCAGAGGTAACTTTACATGTATTCTTGTTCCTCATGGATATTCCGAGGTACTATTGATGGATAATTCGAAAGTGAGGCAACGGTCAGGGCCATGGAATGGCGTGCGGTACAGTGGTACACCGTATTTAAGACCAAATCCCTTGTACACATATGAATTCGTTTCCAATGAGAAGGAGATATTTTTCAGGGAGCATCTTGTTAACAAATCAACACATTGGAGGATCATGATAACTCACGATGGTGAAAACCACAACCTCGTGTGGATTGAGAGCACACAGAGTTGGCTGCTATACGAGATAGGAAATACTGATAATTGTGGAAGGTATGCACTGTGTGGTGCAAATGGTATCTGTAGTATTCACAACTCTCCATTGTGTGATTGCTTGAAAGGATTTGTACCAAATAACTCAAGAGATTGGAACAAGATGGATTGGTCAAAAGGTTGTGTAAGAAAGACTCCACTAAATTGTTCTGGTGATGGGTTTCAAAAGCTTTCCAAAGCGAAATTGCCTGAGATAAAATCATCTTGGATTAACTCGAGCATGAATCTTGAGGAGTGCAAGAACACGTGCTTAAAGAACTGCAGCTGTACAGCATATTCAAATTTGGACATCAGGAATGGAGGAAGTGGGGGCTTGCTTTGGTTCGGTGACCTGATTGATATTAGAATACTTTCTGAAAACGATCAAGATGTTTATATACGGATGGCGGCATCAGATCTAGGTATGAATTTATCTTCAGTCTACAAAATTTGGTGTGAAGATTTGTTTTTCATTTATTAATTTTGCATGTAAAAGTTTGTCTCATAATATTTTTAACCAATATTTTTTAAAACTTGCTTTTTAAAAACCACAACTAAAGATGATTTTTTAAAACCATTACCATAAAAAGCTAATTGGTATAATCAATCTTACAACAGCAATAGCTGGTAATTTTACGCAGTTAGGTGTATTTTTGTCATAAATAGATAAAAATTTATACTAAACATATTATATGAATAATCTAGTTGATGTATTTATAGACTAGTGGAATATATTTAAGTTAAAAATGAGGTTTGGTCATATTAAATTAGAATAACAACTTAAAAAAATCATAATTTTTAATTTTTAATTTGATTGTTGGATTGCATTCAAATTTTAACATGAATTTGTAAAGAATGTTTTCCTTAATATAGCATGAAATTACTATTAACATGAATTTGTAGAGAATGTTTTCCTTAATGTAGCATGAAATCACTATTCTGATTGTTAGATCTTTAAATTTTAAAAATCTCGTTCTCAAACCCTTGTTTTGATAATTTTTATGATTTGCATTATTATTTTTGAATTTCCTATTTTTTTTTGGATTTTATGTTTTTTTTCTTTGTAATTTTTTTTTTCTAGTTGAGTTGGGGTTTATGGCCTATTTAAGGACCTTCTAAGAAAATAGACTTCAATCTATAATTATGTGAATTTAGTATTCATGTTTGCAACCTCTTTTACTAATAAAAAATTATGTGTTTGTTGTTTGTTTCTATCTTTAGCTCCCGCCCCACAATGCGAAACACTCAAATTCAATCGAAAGCTGAAATGAGAAATCAAATGAATCAAAAACAAAATTTATTGTTATTTTGTCTAATTATCGTATCATGGTTTTATAGAACATCTTGTGACGTGAAGCAATGAGAGTTCCTTTGTATGTATATACCATGATAACATGACATGCATAGACTACCTGGCTTTAAAGAACTTTAAGAACAACAAGATCAATGGCTTGATTTATCACTTTTTACTCTGCCGTGAGTAGAATTACCATGGCAGCTATTGAAATGCTTCCAGTACCAAAAAACTACAATGGGATCTGGGAATTTCCTATTATTGTCATTCTAACTCCAGTTTTTCACTGTCATGGTATAGATAATGGTGACTTCTTGAAGATTCATACAAAATCCAATGTAAAGAGAAGGATCATAGTAAGCACCGCATTGTCTACAACCATTCTCTTCCTTGTCCTAGCCTTGGTCTATGTTTGGAAAAAGAAGCAGCAAAAAAAGGGTTCGTTGTTCAATCCACGAACATCTACACATAAGTTGCAACTACAAATTGATAGGAGCACGTTATAATAGACATGTCAAGGAAATTTTAATGTAACAGAGAATAGATCAGATCCCCTGCTTCTATTTATTCTTAAAATCTCTGCTTGCATGGCAAATGACAGGTGATTTGCAAAGAAATCCACATAAGAAAGATGATTTGGACTTACCGTTGTTTGATTTGGGTACCGTGGTTCGTGCAACAAATAATTTTTCTGTTGAAAATAAACTCGGAGAAGGGGGCTTCGGACCTGTTTATAAGGTACTACTTTATAATTAATCACGCAAAGTGACAGCTTCCATATTTCGTTGTACAAACTCTGAAAACCACTGTATTTACTGGGAACTTCGACCATGAGACTGACTATTTCCAAGCATAAAACGATGACTACTTGGTAAGAGTTTCAACTTATAATTTCCTAACAGTTACTAGTAGTTTGCCACATCATACCTTGCTTTCCAACTTTCACAGGACAATGCTTATGATAATGACTGATTATTTGCAGGGAACACTGAGAGATGGACGAGAAATAGCTGTGAAGAGGCTTTCTAATGATTCAAGACAAGGAGTTAATGAGTTCAAAAATGAAGTTAAGTGTATTGTGAAACTTCAACATCAGAATCTGGTGAAGCTTCTAGGATGCTGCATTGAAGGAGATGAAACGATGCTCATCTACGAGTTTTTGCCTAACAAAAGCTTGAACTTTTTTATTTTCGGTATGAATCTCTCAAAACCTGAACAAATACATTTTAGTTAGCACACTTCACTTCTCAAAAAAAAAAAAAAACAGAGTGTACATTTCATGGCATTGTACGAACACCAAAATCAACTGTTTGAGAGGTCATGCTTTGAGCAATGACCTAAAACTAAGCTTGGTAGCTAACTTAATTTGGGAACAGAAGCTATGAGCATCCTCGAACCATTTAGGACAACGGGTTAGTGGCGAAGAGGCTGCCATATCAATTTGTGATTATAACTGGAAATTTATCAAGTATTAATCGCCGTCACCTATTCTGTTTTTCTTTCACATGTATTTATAGATCTGATATGAACCATAGTGAACAGACTTGAGCAGATAATTGTGCAGGTGATACAAAGGGCAGGCTGCTAGATTGGCCGACACGCTACAACATCATCAACGGGATTGCTCGTGGACTTCTTTATCTTCACCAGGATTCAAGACTAAGGGTAATTCATAGAGATTTGAAAGCCAGCAATATTTTACTCGACTATGAACTGAAACCAAAAATTTCAGACTTTGGACTGGCTAGAAGTTTTGTAGGAAATGAAATTGAAGCCAACACTAATAAAGTGGCTGGTACATAGTAAGTGAATGCTCCATCATAGTAATATTTTATCTGCCTTTTCCGCAAATGCAACTTAACACATCCTATGAATAGGTTTTCCACAAAATGCAACTTAACATTCTACTAATACGTGCAGTGGATACATATCTCCAGAGTACGCAAATTATGGAGTCTACTCGCTAAAATCAGACGTCTTCAGCTTTGGAGTCTTGATGCTAGAGATAGTGAGTGGGAACAGGAACAGAGGATTCTGTCATCCGGATCATAGCCTCAACCTTCTAGGGCATGTAAGTTTCGAAACTATGTTCTTCAATTTAATTTACTTTGTGGTACCTGTATGAGGTTCCAACAGATGCATGAGCATGTTTACTGACAGTACACTTCAAATATGCAAAAGTAAAAAAGAAAGGAGAGAGGAAAAAAAAAGGAAGGAAGAAATTTTGTAAACTAATCGAGTCAGACAAAGTTAAGCATGTCAGACATGCCCTGTGCTTGGATTTGGATCCTAGAAGGGAACACAGTGGCAGTTGAAACATTTTCTTCAAGATACCAGTTGTTATTAATAACATGCTTTAATTTATCAGGCTTGGAGACTTTTCCAAGAAGGAAGGCCTATAGAACTGGTTTCGGGATCAATAATTGAATCATTCAATCGATCTCAAGTGTTACGTTCAATTCATGTGGGTCTTCTCTGTGTGCAAGAAAATCGAGAAGATAGGCCGAACATGTCATGTGTGGTTTTGATGCTGGGTAATGAAGATGCATTGCCTAGGCCTAAGCATCCAGGTTTCTTCATCGAAAGGGATGCTATTGAAGAAAGTTTACCAAAACAGAGCAAACCATTATCAGAAAACGAATGCTCGATTTCACTGTTAGACGCAAGGTAGGATGATTGTGCTGATGACTTTTTCATGGATGTGATTGCGTATTCATAGAAGCTGTATGTCTAATGTTGCGTGGTGAAGGTGCATTGCCTCAGCCAAAACAACCAGGTTTTTGGCTGCTGAAAGGGATTTGGCGGTAGCAAATTCTTCATATTTACAGAACTTATCATGCTCGGTCAATGAATTCACTATCAGAATTCCTGAGGCTAGATAGATTCTTGGTTTTCTTTTTGTATTAAGATTCTTGTTTCTTGATGCTTGCAACTTTATTTTCATAAGCAAATTCGTCTCTGCGATATTGGTGTTATAAAATTAAAACTCCTGCAATTTTCGAAACTTTATGGTCTACGGAAAACATAACAGTCGTGTATTTGTAATAAAACCTTACAACGGGTTTTTAATAACGAAGATCATGTGCAGATTTATAGAAGACTTCTAAGGGAACGCTAAGGTGTAAATCCTTAATTCCCTCAAACCAGACATAAAAAATTGAGAAACCATCATCTTAGAGAGGACAGGGTGTGAATGTTTTGAAGCAGATCGAATGAAGCTAATCTGCAAGTTAATGCCTAAAAAGAGCTTGGACTACCTAATTTTTGGTTTGAGAATCTCTATACCTTGCGCATTGAGTTCGAGAGTTCCACTCGTATATGTTTACGAAATCTAGTTAAAGCTAGTTCGGTATTATTTTGGTATTATAGGAGCTGTTGTTTTAAAATGATTTTTATTTTTAAATATATTAAAATAATATTTTTTTTAATTTTTTAAAATATATTTTTTAATACTATTACATCAAAATAATATGAAAATATAAAATAATTAATTTAATGAAAAAAAAAAGCTTTTTTTTTCAAAATTTTCGTACTCTTAAATTCAATCACATCCGAACGCAGAGCACACTACTCGACTGGCCGAAGCGCCACCGCATTAGCAACGGGATTGCTAAGAATAATTAAGAGATGTGAAAGCCAGCCTAGCAAGGAGAATTGGAGAAAATGAATGCCATCTAACATTCAATTGTTGCGTGCCTTGGCTACATATCACCAGAATACTTAATTGATGGACTCTACTCAGTAAAATATGATGTCTTCAGCTCCGGTACAATGTTGATTGTTAAATAATATTTGGTTGTAAGATTTGGATTTATAAGTATTTAGAAAAAAATAACTTTAATATCATACAAAATAATTATTTCAATCCGAAAAAATAAACCATGAAGTTTTTTATATAAACTTATATTATGTAATATAGTGTTTGGTGTATTGAATGGAATATACAAGATTAGACTAGAATGAATAGGACTAAACAAACAATTATCTTATCTTGTGTTTGTATATATTGGATTGTACTTGGTAATTATTTTTCATTTTATGTAGACAAGAGACAAAACATCATCAATCTAAATTGATTGAGATTTAAAAAAGAATAGAGAAAATAGTTATTAACTTTTTTTTTGTTAAAACAAGATTGCTTTATTTTTTTTATTTGGTTAATTTTAGTTGATCCTTTCGACTTGTAACTCGAATCTTTCTCTTAGTCGACTCCCAAGTTAGGTTTAAAAAATATGATAAGAACAAATTTTACTTATATATTAACTTAACTCAATCTATGTTAACTATCTTGACTCGAGACCCAAGTCTTGCCTTGCGTCAATTTTCAAGTTGGATTTTAAAACTATAATAATAATAAAATTTTATCTTAAATTGACTCACGATTCGAGTTTTAAAATTATAATAATTATTATTTTTACTTAGGTTGATATGGGTCAATGCTCAATCCCGGTCTTGCCCCAGATCGATCCCAAAGTTGGGTATTGAAACTATTATAATAATAAATTTTATTTTTATGTTGATCCTAGTTAAAGGTCAACTTGATCCGTGATCAGGGTTTTATCCTAGAATAATCCTCGAATTGAATTTTAAAACTATAATAATAATTATTTTTATCTTTATATTGACTAGGGTCAATGATCAGCCTAACTTATAATTCGAGGCTTGTTTCAAATCAGCTTTCATATCGAGGTTTAAAACTATAATAATAATTATTGTTGTTTTACCTTGCAAGATTTTTTTAGATTAATTCTTTTTTATTATTTCATTTTATAAAATTTAATTAGCAAAATATTTAGCTTTTTAGTTCAATATGAGTCTAAAATTTGATAGATTATGGGTTTAAAAGAGCAGTCATGATTTATGAAGTTGACATGAGATTCCGAGTCTAAAATTTGATAGATTATGAGTGTCATGATTTATGAAGTTGACATGAGATTCCTTAGTTTTTTTTCCTTTTAAAAAAAGATTTTTTTTATTATTTTTTTTATAAAATTTAATTAATCAAGTGTTTAGCTTTTTCATTTAATCCAAATCTAAAATTTAATGAATTATGGATTTAAAAAATTAATCATGGTTTATAAAGTTGACACAAGATTTCTTTGGCTTTTTTCCATTAAAAAAATTGCTTTTAAAAAAATGCTACACAAATCTCCTATGCAGTTTTAATAAACCCACAGTAACCTTAATTATTGTTTAAAAAAATGATAATTATATTAAGAACTTACAAATTAGATAAAAAAATATTAAAAAAAAAAATTATATTAAAAACTTACAAATTAGATAAAAAAATATTAAAAAATAGGACATAAATTTTTTTAGTACATGTATTTGTTTTGCAATTTAATTTAATTTCATTCAATTTTATTTTAAGTTTTCTTCTCAATAATATTTTGCTAATTTTAAAATTTTTCAAATTTAGTTAGTATTTGTTTTCTTTTCTAAAAAGTAATTAAAGGCATTTTGGGTACAATAGAACTCAGTAGAAGGTTACTGTAATATTTTAAAAATATATAATTATTTTTTGTCAAATGTTTAAAATTTTAAATGTTCTTTATAATTTCACAATACCTAAAAGTTATTTTAATTTATCCAATCTCATTTTAACAGTAATGAAACAGTGAATAATAGTATTGCATGTATAATTCAAACAATTTAGCATCAAATCGAACAAGTGCATGTTGAGGCAACAAAGAAAATGAGCCACCAAACCTACCTAAATTTGTCACAAGTAATTCTTGTACGTAAAATACCAAACAAAAGACATCAATGGCAGCTTTTGGACAGATTATACAAGTGTTTCAACAGTGATCTTATGCCATGATTTGCCCTTTTCTTTTTGATAAACAGAAGAAACAATTTGTGCTTTCTTGGGTGGACCATCCCTGTGCCGTGCTTGCATCAGATGAAACTCACATGAAGGTGAGAAGGGCGCAGGTTACTTGCCACAGTTAAGTGTTACAGCTAAATTGACCACAACAAATAAAAATAAAAACCTTTTGTTTGGTCCAAACTGAAATAATTGCTGGACTAAACCCTAGAAATCGGATAATTGCTCGGATTTTCTCATTAATGTCATCCTTTCTCTAAGCCGGACAACTATACAAGCCTGTTGCTAAAATGGACATGCTATTGCTAAAACTAATACAACAATATTGATTCCCCATATTTCGTGGCTCTATTCCGAAGATTCAATATCAACAATAGAAGTCATACCAAAATTAGCAAAACGGGAGAAATGTGACATTTTGCGTCTATTTGAAGTTGGCAACCGCTTCCTCTTGCCATGAAATCCAGTCCCAACTAGCGAATCAAATAGATCACCCATGGCCATTTTCTTGATATTGTTATTTTCATCCATAAAACTAGAAACCAACAAAGATATCATGAAAGGCATCAGGATCAGCTTTCAAGAATTTTCTTTAGCAAGAAGTGAGCTGATAAGCAAAGCATCCAATCATTTTTCTAGCTACTGGCCATGAAGAAATAAAGAGAGGATTCCATACCGTTCACGAATAATTTTGAAAGCTTCTTTTGTTGCATAAGGTAGCCCTGTCTTTGGATCACGATACCTGGAACATAATTCAGAATCAAAACAATGATTCTCATTGAGCATAGTTTGCATAAATAATTGGAAAGAGAAGCTGTTGGGGGGGGGGGGGGGGGGGGGGGGAGGGGGGGGGAAAT